TATTTTTCTTGAATGTGTTATTATTCAGATGCAAGTCACTTCATTTTATATTTTCTTTTTTTAACATTTTGTTTCTTTGGAACCACACACACCTATCCTTATCTCCAACTGCACAACCCCTCTGTCAATAAAAAAGTCAGAACCGAAATTTCAGATATGCACCAGAAACAATAGAACCAGGTACAGTGATAAGACACAGAGAGCAGTACGAATACACATCGCCAAATTGGTATTTAAAAAGATTAACTACAAAGCTGGGTCATTGCAGATTGCTTGCCAAAGAGCCACATTTGTTAAGGTGTCACATTCCTGTTAAGATCCAACTTGTGACTGCCGCCCCATCTGTTCTTCAGTGCTTCAGTCTTCTTCAGTTTGTGTCTTGTACTCTCACATTGCTGATTGCCAGGCTCTCTGCCCTCCACAGGTGGTGAATGCAGTGGTGCTCCTGTTCGCAGTGGGTTACCAGTTCCTGCCCAGTGCTTGGCTGGTCTTTGTTATTGTCCTCTATGAGGGTCTGCTGGGTGGAGCTGCTTATGTCAACACCTTCTACTTCATCAGCAAAGAGGTCAGGTCAACAGTCAGTCAGTTGGTTTGTTATTCGGGGTTACCACGTGTCATGAAAAGCAGCTGTTTGCTGTGAATGCAGACTCAGCACTACCTCAATGTTAACCTATTGCCATGATACAGTCAGTATAATGTACATTTCCACAGCACTAATTCCATCAGTACAACAGAGTCATGTCTAACCTACCACTCTGCTGCTCTCAGGTCCTGTGACAGAAATAGTTTTCATTACCATGTTTCCATTCAAATGTATCACACATTTTAACATTTTAAGGTTCATCAAGATATGTATGTGGCGCCAGCTCTCCAGTCGGCAAACCAGAAGGAGAGGGAGCAACAATATGTCATAATTAAAAGAGCGCTAGTTGGAATAAAACGGTTGAAATCAATGCAGGCAACAGGCTGTGAATATGTCATTTCTGTTATATTAATGTGAGGTTCCATCAGGTCCGTGTGCAGCAATCGTGGGTGTGTTATAGAGCCAAGAGGCGACTGTCCGAGTGGAAACAGCTGACCAGTCCTGTGGCTTAAATGTTTGCTATTTAAGAACTTATTTGGAAAAAGCAACCTTCTCCAATGTGACACTTTAAATGTGCATAAAAATAAGTTAAAAAACACGGCCAGTGAAACTCAATACTTGCCTGCATATGTTTCATATTAAAAGCCTGACCAAAGGGTGTAGTCTCTCCCTTTGAAACTCACTGATGGGAGCTTAACAGAAATCAAAAAACACTCTTCTGTTGAGAAGAGGAGAAGAGAGCAGCAGACTGTTGCGTATTAAATGACTGTGTTGTCACTCTGATAAAAGGAGAGGAAATGTACATTGTGTTAAGAGTAAGTAATGAGTAATGTTTTTACCCAGCATTAATGAGTGACAAACTGTATTACTATTTGAGACTTGTGTTATGTCACAGTTCATTTGTCTTTATTTTATTTTATTATTGAGGCTGTGGTGGGTGGTGGTGTTGTATTTGAGTGTGTTACACTGAAAGGTGTTTCTAATATATTTGTATTGGCAAAAATCTGCCAATATGTTGTATATCCCGATACAGGGAATATAAATATAATTCTATATATTGCAATACTGTATGAAAAGGCAATATGTTGTGTTTTCTTTTAATCTAGTTTCAGTAAAACTGTATAAAGAACACACCACCATATACTTAATTCTGCATAAAAATGTACTATAACCAGAACTGTGTGGTCTGCATCTGTATTTATCATAGTGCTCTGTGATAAATACCTCATTTTACAATTAAAACACTGCTATATTAATACAGTATCACAAAACCAAAAAGTATTGCTCTATGTATAGCTGAGGTGTGGCTCTTTATATTCTGCATTAAATGTCTAGTGTGTGTTCATCCTGACGTCTGTCTGTTCTCCCACAGACTGAGGACAGACAGAGGGAGTTTGCCATGGCTGCTGCCAGTGTAGGAGACAGTCTGGGCATAGCTCTGGCTGGACTTGCTGCTTTCCCTGTCCACAGATACTTCTGTTCCCTATGACCCAGCCCACACACTGACCAGCAGGATGAATAAGCAAGACGTGGGTGCGTTCCATTTGAGGGATTTTCTTTTTTCAATCTGACATGAGTTAGAGACCATCTGACAAAAGCAGACTTTACTCCTACATTAAAATATTGACTCCGCATACTGTATTCAGTGCGGATTCAGCACCAGTGAGCCAGCCAGAGAGAGGAGGGCTCACTCACTAACGTATCCTTCTCACCAGCTTCCACTGCTGTTTGGGATACGGTCCCATGACATGAGTGGTTTTCAACAGGAAGGCATGGTAATAGTTTACTTAACCTAATAATGTGTTTGGTATTCGCTGGTTTGCACTAAGAACCTGTTGCCTGCGGAGAAAACAGATTATTGTTTCATAAAAGTCCATAGCTTGTTTTGCAGACCAATATTAGTTGTGCACTCACCTCAGTGACAAATAACAATGCACTTGTTTCCATCAATGTTTCCTGTAGCTGCTTCACAAGATATGCCTTCCTGTTGTTCAGTAGTGAACAGCTAGACAGGAAACTGTGGTTGTTTGAATTAAGAAATGCAGTATGACCAGCACAACTCTCCAAAACAAAGAGAAAATGATTAGACATATTTTTTAATTACACAAGAGTTTATTTTAACAGTTTTTACTGAACTGAAATGTTTCAGAATTATAGGACACAGTAGGACGTCTCATTTTCAGAAATAACACCTGTATTTTTGTCTGGTCATCTAGTTTGAAGAGCTTGTTCTAAATCTGAACTGACCGAACACCAGACTACACTCACTTATTCACTCACTCATCTTTCTTTCTACAATAATTAAGTTGTTAATATGAAAAGGGTGAAACTGTCTCACTGCATCTAGAACTGGCATTATACATTAAACATTACCTAGTGCAACTTCGTAACAAAAAACGGTACAAATAGGTGACGACATAACAAATCGTGTATGATGATAATTCTTACGAATTGATTTGATTAATGAAATTAATGTTACTTTAAACCCTTCAAATATGTTTTGGGGTAACAATGTGTATTGATCATGCTGTAACAACTATACAACGAAACCAACATGGAACCAATACCGATTTTCCTTCATACTTTTATTGCTGAACAGAAGGTAGAAGTTCCCCAGTAGCTGACATTATTTAATGGTGCCTTCTGTATTCTTATAACCAGGTTGAATCAGGTTATTGCTGAACTAACATATGATGTCATTACTGAAGTGACCAAAATGCTTTTTATTATATCTTTCTACCAAAGATAACAATGGTTTCCTAATTATTTTCAATGTATTAGTGAAAAGACAATAAGAACATTGTTGGGTACGCTTTTACCGGTACGGGTATGTTAACAGCACGTTTTGCCAACAGGTTGTTGACCTTTTTTTAACCAAAAATCTCGGTTTTCCTGTTTTCTGAATGTAATGTAAATTGTCATTGATAATAATAATAATTATTATTATTATTATTATCATTACTATTATTATTATTATTATTATTATTAAATAAGAGCAACAATGTTATACACTTTATCCATATACACTGTTTTCTCTTTATGTCCGATGTGCACATTCCTGCTGAAATGTAAACTACTAACATTTAATATTATGCTGCTACTGTTAAACTATCATAACTTTGTTACAACTTACAGAGGTGTGTTTGAAGCTTTGTGCCTGTGTGATAAAGATGCATTAACCTCCAGAGTGTCAAATAAGGCTTAAAAATTGGACTGAGCATTAAAATGGTTCAAACCTGTCATGTAACATACGAATGTAAAGAAATGATTGTAAGAATGTGCTCTTTATTATAAAGTTAGCCTATACCATACTATGATTGTACTGTGATTATTGATTATTGTTATATATTATATCTTCATATATCTTCCAAAACCTTTTTGCTCTAACACTGAGGGTTGCTGTTCTCATCAGGGCTGCAACTAATGACCATTACCATTAACCATTAATCTGCTCAGTGTTTTCTCATCATTTGGTCCATAAATTGTGTACTATCACAGAAGCAGCAAATCATCACAATTAAGAGGCTGAAACCAGGGAACCATTGATTTTTACTTCAAAATGTATGAATATTTTTTGTTGTTGATCAACCAGCTAATCATTTCAGCTCTACACGTAGTTGCTTTTTGTTGAAGGAATTAAATAATATTAGGTTTCACAGTTTTGTAAGTTGCATATTCGACCATTGGCTTCCACCTTGTGATCTGCACATATATAATTAACACAGTGAAGATCAAACATCAAAATGATGTAACAAATTGAAAATACATCTTCTGGGGACCTCAATTTACCATTTTTACTTTATCTATTCTCAAGCTGTCTAATGTCTCAATCATGCCTTCATTTTATTCACATTTAACAGGCCTCTTCCCCCTGTCAGACAAAAGGAAACTAACTACAGCACTGTGGTTGTGCAGCTCTGTTTTGTGACGGACAGCTCTCTGCAACTGCGCTCCACTGAGCGATGCGCGTTCCCTACACCGGAAGTTACAGTCGAGTCGGTAGCGTTCATGAGCACGACGGGAGCGAACCGGCAAAGACGATACCGGGGGAAGAAGAGGAGCCGGGTGGACGGCGGACGGCGACAGAACACAGTCCACGGAATGAAACACATTGATGTTTGTTTCTCAGAGTTCTGCTTTCTCTCACTTAACGGTACTGACTCTTACTTCAGCGGCGCTGTGTGAATCCTTTTCATAGCGTCTGGCTAGCATTAGTTAGCTCACGAAATTAGCCGAAGTGCTAACCAGTGTCGGTGCCCCGACAGCCGCGGTTAGGCAGCTAACGCACAGCATTTCGTCAGCTAACCTACATATGTTTCTTAGTTTAACGAGCACACTACGTAGCTGGTATGTGTAGTCGTGCGGCACCGGTTGGCGGACGGTATCGTTAACCTTTAGTACAGATTCTCAAACAAAATGGTTGGCTAAGTTATCAAAGAATCAGTTGGTCGCTGACGTCGTTAGCAGCGATGTAAGCTAACGTGCTAACGGTTAGCTTTCTGTTGAGCTAACTACGCCCATAGGCCTCACATTCCTGGACGAATAACTCATCTCTGGAGCATCTGTATGATATGGAGATGAACGAATCGTATAAAGCGAGTTTTGTACTGCTCTGGTTAAACTATTGCGTAGTTAGGAACCGGTTTAACAAAAGTCGGCCCAAGTTATCAGAGAGCAAACGTTAACTAAATGTTTCTCCGGTTACGTGATAACTAGTTGTTGCGTTGTTTCGCGTTTCTGTAAAGGTTTGTTGTTGAGGTGTAAACCGTGTTTTCTCTCTCTCTCCACAGTTCCTTATTCTGCACACCCTCATAGCAAGAGCCTGACGTGCAAGTGTTGAATCGCCCAGTGTGTGTTGTGAGTGCCCGCTCCACTGGCCGGGGAAGAAACCACTCAGTGACCCCAGTGTGCGAGCAGAGGAGTGTGCGACCATAGTGTGCGAGCAGCTCTCCCTATGTGTGTCACAATGGGGGACATCAGTGACCTGGACCGACAGATAGAGCAGCTCAGACGCTGTGAGCTCATTAAGGAAAATGAAGTCAAAGCACTGTGTGCCAAAGCCAGGTAATGGAGAAACCTGGCCTATAATACAGACACAGTAATACAGATGTTAAAAGTGGTGCTAAATGTATACTGGAGAGTTTCATCCGACTTTTTGGCTCATGCTAGATTCATCCAATAATGTGGATAGCTGAAGGCACACTCAAAACAAATGGAGGCAAAGGAAATATTAAAACTACACACTTATTGTTCACAGCTTTATTACATTATTAACCTCAATACTATATTGTAAGGGCAACTTTGGACTCAAACTACATTTCAAAAAGGGAAAGATGTTATTCCAAGAGATTAAATGCTTTTTTGTTTTCCTACTCAGTATTTAATGTAAAATTGGCGTATTTTAGGATTAGCTTTATATTTTTTGAAGGGGAGTTAGTTTGCTTTAACAAGTTTTTCTTCTGCTGTTTGTTTTTGTCCTTAAGTTACAAACAGGATGTTGACACCAGCTGGGACATTCAGTGTTCAAGTGTCAATACAGAATATTACAAGACACAGGCTATGATGCAGAGACGTGTAATAATAACTAACTTTTATGTACTGGACTGTGTACTCTGAGCTATTGCAGTATTTAGGAAGTATAGGTTTGGACACATAATCAAAGTAACTTGAATTAGGATGTTGGGTCATAAAACTTATAGAACAATGATATATCCCCACTGCTGGTTTAAATTGGTCTAAACTTTGAATGAGTATTCCATCTGCTGCTCTTTGGGTTGCTTAAAATGCCATAGCAGCATGTTTTAAACGCGTTGTCATGATTGGTTGATGCTGGTGTTTAAGAGATGCTACAACCCAAATGTATCGTATTGTACAGTCATGTCCTTTGGTTTAAAAAGGTGGCTGTACAATAGTACTAAAAGAACCACAGGAACTTGTGAAACCACGCTCTAAAGTACACATTGGTCTGGTTTAAACACGGAAATCACATCTAATTATCTATATTGTCAGCCATCAGCTCTGTGTGTCCTCTCTCTGTTGTATGCTAGATGGAAAATGGAAGAGACACACAAGAAATGAAAACACTGAACTTGCTTGGTGACATAGATATACATGTCTGCCTGTGTTTTACACGCCTTTGTCCACTGGGGGGCGGTGCTCTGCAAGTGATTTTCAGCTAGATTTCCTTTATGACCAGCTGCTAGTCTTTGAATGCATCTGGATAAAATCTAACTGGGTTTAGTATAACATGTAATCATAACTGTGTGTGTGTGTGTGTGTGTGTGTGTGTGTGTGTGTGTGTGTTTTCAGAGAGATTCTGGTGGAAGAAAGCAATGTCCAGAGAGTAGACTCTCCTGTCACAGTAAGGAACATTTTTCTATTGGCTCTAGTTTGTTCAGAGTTTGACTAAAATTCTTCATAAATGTGGTGATAATGTTTTGTCTTGTTTTTCAGGTGTGTGGTGATATACATGGTCAGTTCTATGACTTGAAAGAGCTGTTTAGAGTAAGTTTGAGTTTCTTGTTACACACTGATCACTGCACACTTAGTTAACACGTTTTTATTTGTGTGTTGTGTTTTAAAGTTGGTTGGTGGTGCTGGACAGAGTTGCACACATTCTGAACAGTATCCAAGTTCAATATAGTGAATTTACAAAGTTGAACACAAGTCCTAAAGGATCATTCTGGTGGGTTTGTTCCCTTTTTTCCATCACAATTGTCTAAAATATAGTCTCTTACTTCACTGCGGAGGGAATGATAAATTCTGTGTACCATCAGCACTGCCCTGAAATACACACAGAATGTTGCATGTCATACTCTAAAAACCACGCCCGTCAGAGGGGAAAACAAACAACGCCACAATATAAAGACAAACAAACAACGGCTGAAATGCTCACATAATGTACAAAATGTAGCTCACTTAAAAACAGATTTTCAGCACATCAAAGGATTATTTTAGCACCCAGTGTGTACCAGAGAGGAAAAGGGTATATTGACTCATTACTGTCGGTCTGTTTCAGTGTCTCTTTCCCATAACAGTTTTTTCTTGGAGCAATTATCCCCCTGAATTGTAATATTTACAGCTTGTTTAGATACAGTGGCATTGTTTGTAATGTTGATGTGTTGCTTTGTTAACATAAAAGTCACAGTATATCATTGTTAAACTAGTTGTTTTTAATCTTTCCACACGATAGGTCGGTGGCGACGTCCCAGAGACAAATTATCTCTTCATGGGAGACTTTGTGGACAGAGGCTTCTACAGTGTGGAGACCTTCCTTCTTCTGCTAGCTCTTAAGGTACACAGGATTTCTTTTCAGACGTGGAAGTATTGTACTTCTGGAAAAGAGGTCAGATGCCCATGTAGGACATGCACAGGACTTCTGAAGTCTGCTTGTCCTCATGTCTTTGCTTCTGCTGCTCTCCTCAGGTGCGTTATCCAGACAGGATAACCCTGATTCGGGGAAACCACGAGTCCCGGCAAATCACCCAGGTCTATGGCTTCTACGACGAGTGCCTCCGCAAGTACGGCTCTGTCACCGTCTGGAGATACTGCACGGAGATATTCGACTACTTGTCTCTCTCGGCTATCATCGACGGCAAGGTGTGACACATTCTGTAATATTTCCTTCAACTACAATGACAGTGAGACTCAGTTTCTGACATTATATAACGTCCATCAGTTGGGTTGATACATTCTTCTCTTGTCCTTCAGATTTTCTGTGTGCACGGAGGCTTGTCTCCATCCATCCAGACACTGGACCAGATCCGGACCATTGACAGAAAACAGGAAGTTCCCCACGATGGGCCCATGTGTGACCTCCTGTGGTCGGACCCTGAAGGTATACAGACAGCCGGTCGAGCCTTTTAAACATTGCATTGTTCACAGACTGTTGTGTGTTCAAGGAAACGGTATTTGGCATGATGATAAAATGAAAACCGGCAGCAGTGGTGGACCTTTAGTTAAATATACAGCAATACTTTAAAGGTTTACAGCGATCTCTCTAACCCTGCTGCCATGTTACAAGCATACCTTCACCTGACTCATCTTTTCTCTCTCAGACACCACAGGGTGGGGGGTGAGTCCCAGAGGTGCTGGCTACTTGTTTGGCAGCGACGTGGTGGCCCAGTTCAACGCCGCCAACGACATCCACATGATCTGTCGAGCACACCAGCTGGTCATGGAGGGCTACAAATGGCACTTCAATGAGACGGTGCTCACGGTGTGGTCAGCACCCAACTACTGCTACAGGTAGGGAGAAACACTAAAGCTCAAACAGTAAACGTACAATGTGTAAGGCTGCCGTGTGTGAAAAAAGGCAGTCCTCATTTATTTGAACCGGTCCATCGACGCAGCGGCAGTGCCAACGCAGAGTCGTGTGCAAAGAAGTTGAACCAGGCGAGGCATTGGCCAGTCACATACATGCAAGTGCACAGTCCTGGTTGGTTACTGTGTAACGTGAAAGCCATATTATGCTGTGCTGAAAGATCAAATTGCTGCTGTGTTGTCACCACAACTGGAAGCAAATGTTTCGTCTTCAGTTTTACGTGCATGATTGTGTGTTGGTAGTATGAGTGCTACCACAGTGCTGGTGACCTACACTCAGTACTGTGCCTGAACACATCCTGTGTAGACACAAAGGACTGAAGCCACTGCTGCTGCGCCGCTACTGTACTGCTTTCAGTCAGTGAGGAGCAGTCCTGTTAATGGTGACAAATGACCACAAAGCACTCCTTATTCTTTTGTCTTACTTCAAAATAAGAACAAAGTGTACACATTAGACATTTTATGCCAATAAAGTATAAACCTTGCAGCATAGCTTCACACAAAACAGCAGTTCTGCAGTCGGTTTCATCGCAGTATTTTTGAGCACTGAGATGTTGCAGTGTAAATGCATTCATGGCTGAGTGAGACCAAAGAGAATTGTTTTGCCTCAGCAGGACAACGACATTTATTCCTCTTCTCTTCAAAGGCTTATTTTACACCACATTGAGGACAGATGTGTTTATTTACCCTCTAAATGTATTTTCTAAATGTCCTAACCAGATGTGGCAACGTGGCGGCCATCTTGGAGCTGGATGAGCATCTACAGCGGGAGTTCATCATATTCGAGGCAGCGCCACAAGAGACCAGAGGCATCCCCTCCAAGAAGCCAGTAGCCGACTATTTCCTGTGAAGTCTTTGAGCAGACAGCCATGTTGTGTGGAGATCTCCGGTACCATTTCTCACCAGCCACCCTCCATCCTGCTGCTGGACCGTTCTGTCAGTCTGAACTCAGAGCAGTTAGACAGAAAACCTGCCAATTCCCGCGAGGCTCCAGACAGCTTCAGCTTGAAGAGCCGGGTTTTTGCCCCACTGCCCACGCCTGACAGAGCAGTCACTGTGAAAGGTGTCGGTGGCGAGGTGGATACTGGGCCCATGACTGTTGTCACTTCTCTTCAGCTGTATAAGATGGCCATTTTCTTTCTCCCCTCGGCCTCCTTTCATTTCCGTCTGTTCTCCTCTCTCACTCTCTGTAGATACCTCCCTGACTTAACCTCCACCACTCTTGTAGTGTTTCTTTTCCTGACGAACATTGTCATCTAGTTTTAGAAGTTTTTGGAAGGAGTTAGACTTTTCTTTTTTTCTTTTTTCAAAAAATATGCATTTGTAGGAAGTTTCACATTTTTATCGTTTAAGGAATTCCCTCGATGCATATGTTGTGTCTTTGTTCTTGATTTTTGTATAATTGTTGCTGCCAGGATTAAATGCATAATGACCTGTTTCCCATCCCCTTTTTTGCTCTTATGTTTCTGTTTAACTGTCATGTGTCACTATTTAACACCCAACATACCCAGTGCTGCTGCTCAGCACTATCACAAGTAAATACCAGAAATGTAATGACTGGCCAACAGGAGTCACTATATTCACCATTGTTTTTTTCTCTTAATTCCTTTTAATCTACAAATCTCTGTAGGTCTGTCATTTTTGATATTGTGAGAATAAAGTTTTTGTATCAATGCTGATTTTATTTTCAGGTGTGCTTTAATGACACGTGCGTGCTAACCATGGTAACAAATGCATGTTGTGAAATCACTGATTCAAGTCAGTAACTAGCCCTGTAGGAAGAGTTGGGATTAAAGGGCCATTCAGTCATTTCTGAAGCACTGTAACATGACATGAACATTGCTGTCAGAAGTACAAGCTGAGTGTGTAAGCCAGGAAGATTTTTCCTTTTCATTTCCACACTGATGTAAGTGATGTAACAAGTTGCCCTTTTCCAGGATTCCTGTTTGGGTAAACCATTAGTCACACTCCAGCCCAGACTGAACCTGACTCATGGTTGTTGTTGCATGCTTTCTATCACAATGTGATTAATTTGTATGTGGCAGTCTTGCGGAGGAAGACAATGGAGAGACTGATGAAGACGTACCAACATGTACCATTGTCTCAAATATAATGCCAATAACGTTCTATAGTAAAATGATGTTGGCTGTCGTACAGTATGTGCCCAACAGGTAGAGAAATGTCTGCTGATGAGCAAGCCCTCGAGCAGTACAGCTGGATGTATCTATTTAACTACACATAACTGTCAGGTGTAAGCTGTGTGTGTGTGTGTGTGTGTCCCTGCGCAT